ATAGATTTGTTTTAGGGGTTCTCAATTGTGAAAAATTGTTTCCACTGGAAAAAACTGCGCGTGGAATCTTCCTTTACTTAGCTCCTGAGGCCAATGATTATGATTCATTAGCTGATATACAATCTATGAAAGGAAAATGAATACTACAATCAATTACAACAAGGAATTCTCACAGGAATCCAGATTTGTTTTGGTGGTAGTTCATTATAGAAGGTCCCCTATTTGTTTGAGGGAGGGGGGGGGTGGACCCCCCTTTACTAATCAGGATCCAACATTACTTGTTTTCTTTGGACCTATTCTTTGCCAGGCTGGCAATTTCAATCAGTCTCGTCCCGGCAAATCTCTTGCCCTGTCTTGATCAAACTGGAAGGTCCAAAGATTGCCTTTGTTTGTTTCATGCATTCAAGCCGAAGCCTTGGTATCGAGCACGTCATGGATGGCATCCAACTGAGCCTTGATGTTCTGTGCATCCAAATTGCGCTGCTTCTCCATCTTCTTGAAGGACTGGCACGCCGTAGACATATATACACTAACATTCGTCGGGAGGGGCTTCGGAGACGTTTAGCCTGAATTGGTGCTCTGTTTTTGGAGTTGACGTGAGGTCAAAACGTCAAGACCTGAAACCATGAAAAGGATTGGATGATGCAAGATCAGGTCTCCAAAATGGTTTTTAGAATAAATCTAAATGCATGCCACTTACCCTATAGTGTGTCGCCATATTGTGTCCCCATTTGTGGGGTCTAGTTTGAATGAAAACCTGTAGGATCAACTTCATACATAAAAGGACTTGGGCCACCAGTCTTCCACCCCCTTCGACTCCTCTTGGTCCAGGGGTTTGAGGCTTCTTGAATGAACACACAAGCGCATGAACGGAGAAGAAGACACAAAACACCCGTGGTAATGGTTATAGTTATTTGCTTCATTATGTACTCATCTCGCAAGAAAGTACCAAAGCATAGCGCCGGCTAAACCAAGATGGGCCAAGTGGCATCCCCACACTTCGAAATGTCAACTTCGTGGCTGGCGCTCTTCACGGTCAAGCCATTCACCTGTGGACAATTGTTACTAGTAGTAAGGCACTTGTTTCTAATAGCAAACATTGTTACTACTAGTAAGGCACTTGTTACTACTAGCGTGGCACTTGTTACTAGTAGCTTCCAAGCCAAGCCCACGGCACCGAACCAACCACCACCTACCCCTTGCCCGCCCCTGCCCCCTAGTAGCGATGGCCTCCAACCTAGTAGTAAGGCCAGGAGCCCCTAGTAGCGTCCTTGTCGACTCATCGCCTCTTCACGAAGCTTCAGAATGTCACGTTTCTGCTCGCCCAAACCTCCTTGTACGCCGCTCATGCCTTGGACTCCGCGATGAGGCCACAGTCTTCCGGGAAGACATGTTCGGCATGAATGGATATACATGTTACATGGGCGGGATAGAGGACGCTACTAGGATCAAAAGGCATCGCTACTAGGGTCTCCTGGCCTTACTACTAGGAGCAAGAAGCTATTAGAAACAAGAAGAATCTAGAATTAAAGGTAATTTAAAGTCATTAGAATTGGGATGTCGTGAGAGTTGTTCTTCTTCTCCTTCACCAACCGAGCCACGGAGGTCCAATGCCCCTAGGCGCCTAGAGGCTTCTGCGGCCCTTAGCTCCCCCCTGCTGCTCCTTGGCGCGGGAATGTTCGCTCGGCAAAGATCTTTCGGTGCACCTTTTGTGTCTTTTCCTCTCTCTTTCTCTCTTGAAGCTGCAAGGGGAGTGATGTTCAAGAAAAAAATTGTCTTGATGCGACACCCCCTCTAACGAGGCCATGGGGGCCTCAGCTCTTCTCAATGCCTGTAGATGGGGAATCCACAAGATCAGTCATGCGTGCTCAGTAGTGCGTGGCCCTACCCGGTGATCGTACTGCGAAGTCCTCCAGTGCCCCGACTCCACAAATGTCCTCCCAGTAGCCCCGGCCAGTGGTCAGTCTGGTTCATGATGTCAACGATGCACGTCAAGCTAACATGTCCCGCTATGAGAGCCTTCTGGCCATGGACTTCTCGAGGCCCCCCAAAGCCCGTATCTTAATTTTGTCCCCTCCCGGCAACGCCAAGGGGTGTGGGGGGCACAGACTCAGCTGTGCGTCATCGTGCAGGAATGCGGCACTTCACTGCCCTGTAGTGGATGTTATGCAAGAAAATGAAGGAAGCTTCAAGGACAATGCACAGAAATATGTAAGGATTTGAATTAAAAACATCTGAAAGGAAAAGGATCATATCTTAGGAACATGACAGACTCTTGCGGAGGTGGCAAGCTTCGTGCATCTGACGCATGACGGCAAAGGGTGTCGTTTCGGTGGGCATGTCCGGCCCCAGTGCATGAAGGCAGGAGAAAATAATCAAAAAAGAAACCACCGACATGAATCTAACCAAACACACGCACACTATTTCAATGAGGGGGAGGAGGAGGAGGAGGGTGAAGTTGCGTAGACACACGAATGATGTTGACGTTGAAGCAGCATGGATCTAAAAAAAAATAAATTGAGTTCGTGTTTTTGCGGTCTCCTTTGTTGATACGTTCGATCTTGGACACGGAAGGAACACCTTACAAAGTCAAGATTGGCAATGCCTTTCAGCACGCGCTCGTTCCAGCTATGATGGGAAGAGCGGACTGCATCTGACTGCCCGCCAAGCTTCCACATCTCCAATCTTCTCAAGGGTTTCTTGCTGCTTCTGGCGGGTATCGTTCTTGGCTCGTGCCTGCGACATGCTGAGCCCCAACTTGGGTGACCAAACCTTTGACAAATTGTTGTGCCATTGTTGCAGGACATTGCTTTTAGGTTGGGGGCCATCGCTAGTAGGTTGGAGGCCATCGCTTGTAGGGTGGAGGCCGTCGCTAGTAAGTTGCTGGCCATCATTGGCCATCGCTAGTAGGTTGGAGGCCATCGCTAGTAAGTTGCTGGCCATCATTGGCCATCGCTAGTAGGTTGGAGGCCATCGCTAGTGGGTTGCTGGCCATCATTGGCCATCGCTAGTAGGTTGGAGGCCATCAGTAGTAGGTTGGAGGCCATCGCTATGGTTATTGGATTTGTTCAACTGCCTGTCACTTCGTTGAAACGATTTGAGGTCTTAAGCTGTGCCTGTGCTACTCAATAGTGGGCTTCCATGTCCCGTGCATACCTGCGGGCCTCCGTGTCTGCAATGGAGCGCTCCAAGTCACTTCGCACCACTGCCACCTGTGGCACCCCACCCCACCAGCTACAAAGCTCCCTTGGGTGGGCGTTCGTGATCAGGCGGAAAATGTGGGATAACAAAGATCCTATATTATCAACTTAAACGATATATAGGATCTTGAAACCGTTGAAGCCACAGATTCAGATTAGCGGCCTCATTGAAGCAGTCGCTCAAAGAATTTTGCGTGGTGTGGAGGCTTTCCTCGACCACGAGCAGTGAATAGCTACAAGAAGGTTCTGGTGCTGGCCGACTGCACCACTTCCATGCGAACAAAGAACTCGAGAAGCTGATGCCAAACGAGTATGGAGAATGCTTCCGTGGAGGCCATCGCTAGTATGGAGAATGTATGGAGAATGCTTTTAGGAACAAGAAGTTACTAGGAACAAAGGGCATCGCTACTAGGAGCAAGGACGCTACTAGGGGCTCCTGGCCTTACCACTAGTAACAAGAAGCTACTACGTAGGTGGAGGCCATTTGGTGTTCTCTCGGAGTCCTGTGTGGCTGACAAATCCTTGTTGGTGAAGTCAATGCGGCCATTCAACGCGTTGATGGCCTCGGAGGATGAAAAAATCACAACGCCAACTGCCATGCCCTGCTCAAACAGCATGTCCCAATTGACATTGAGGCTAGCAGCATGATCCGTATCCGTTGCCAGTTTGCTCTTGGACTCCTCCAAGTTCGTCTCAACCGAGGTGACGTCATGGCGCATCGTGGAGAGGATCTCATCAACCTTCCAGGTGTCCACTTGGCCGGATGTGACTCCCATAACTTGCCGAAATCATATGTAAATCGTATAAATACCGTTAAATCAATCAAATTCTTGAAGAGGCCCCGTTGGGAAGCAAGTCTGATCATATGCTTGTGCAGCCGCATACAGCCATGTTCGTTTTTCGAATGCCTTGCCACAACTCTTCAAACATGGCAACATGTTTAAGACTTACATATAAGACTTTTGAACATGTGTTCCCTTCTTTTGCTCTGTTAGACCTATCAAGTCACACTGGAACCTCAAACCTCAAACGATGGACCGACTGACACGCAAGCGGAGACCTTGCGACGGCGTGCATCCACATCCAGGCGCAACGAGGAGACCATGTCCCGAACCGTCTTGACGGCAGCGTCCAAGTCGTCGTTGGCCTGACGTTTTTGGGGAGCGGTGTTTGACCAAATGCCTGGCAGAGGGGCTGTGGTGATTGTATGTCTAAAGAAACAGGTCTAAAGAATAGGGAAAAACAAAAAGGAAGAAAGGTCTAAAGAAAAATAGAAGACAGAAAAGAAGAAAGGAAGACAGAAAGGTGTTGAGTCAAGAAAGGTCAGATTGGTTTACAAGCATGGCGCAGCCGGGCATAGCAAATATAGTGACTGTAGTGAAAGTCAGCTTTCCGGTCTGCCTATCCCCATGACGACAAACGAAATGGCATGGATGATGAGCGGCCTCCTTCCACGCAACATTGTCCACTTTGCCATCCAACTTTGTATTGAATTCCTTGGAGCGAACACCAGAGACGGTGGTTTGGAGCGATGGTCCCCGCCCTAGTAGCAGTGACCTCCACAATTCTTCCGCATCATATTTGTCATTCGTGTGTCTTACCTTTTAAGAGCAGGACGTTCTTGAGGTTGATCAAGTCTTCCGTGGTGTTGTCCTCCTTCTCTTGCATCTGCTGCAAAGTGTTCGAGACATCCTCCATCCATGAATCATGATTCTTGAGAGCTTCTTGGATATCTCCGATGTCCAAACGCATGGTGGAAATCTCTGCTGTCATTGTGGCTTCCACTCGCTGGCGGCTGGTGATGATGGAGTGTGTGGCATCCACACGTGCGCGCATCTCATCCAAGTCGACGTTCACGGCATCCATTGCAGCGGTGAAATCTTCCATGTCCCGCTCACAGGCCAAAACAATGCGACGGATGTGGTTCACCTCCCCTTTGCTGTTGGTCAGGAGGTCTTTCAGCTCACCAACATCGAACTTCAACTGGTCCACATCCTCACCAGCAGCTCACAAAAAAACGCTTCCACAGGCTAGCCATAGGGAAAACAGCCCTCTTTGAAATGGGGTGGGGAGTCTTTTCAGCCCTTGGATGGGGTCCTCCGCCATGGTGTCAAGACCTGTCTCAGCACCAACACCATCAATTGGCTTAGTAGTGCCGGTCGAGCGCTGCATGTGTGAGATCTTCTTGTCAAAGTCCGTACTCACGTTCGACAGCCTTGGTGCAGCAAGAGCACCAAAATGTTTCGTTGAAGCCCTCATGAGATACAAACAAGTCCCCCCATAGCAAGGGATCGAAGAAATCCGCCAGAGTTTGCTGAGCCATCTGAGTGAATTCCAATGCTTGTCACAGGTGGATAGCGCTTCGAATTAGTCAGGAGACGTTCCATCTCTACTCAATCCTCACCATTCAAACCTTCCACTGACTGCTTTTTCCCACTCTTGGGAAATGGACAGGCTATGGGTCTTTGTCGTGGCTGGGAATTCGATGGCGGTGAAGCATCCAACGGATCCCTTTGGTCCGTTGAACGTGGTTCGAACGTGCAGCATGATAGATTGATGTCAAAGGCATGCTCCATCCTTGCTGGTGTCCTGTGCAGGCCTGGTGATTTCTTGCAGCACTCTGTGGGTCTGAGTGTTTGAACCAAAGATTTAGTGGCACAAAAGGGTACCAAATAGGAAGCGGAGAGCAGCGGATCGAGGAGCAGCGGGGAGAAGGGAGCAAATTCAACGGAAAGGACTTCATCTGAGAAGACGAATAGCGATGGCCTCCAACCTACTAGCGACGGCCTCTAACCTAATAGCGATAGCCTCCATTGTACTAGCGATGGCCTTCAACCTAGTAGCCATGGCCTCCAGCCTACTAGCGATTGCCCCCGGATTCATAATCCATTCTTTGACACGATGTGCAGCAATTCTGTTGACACCAATTTTGATCCCACCAACTGGAAAAGGGCCCCCATTGGGGCTGCACGCCTTACTACTGAGGTTTGGTTGAACAAACTTCTCAGAAGGCAAAGCGGGCTTGGGGACGCACGTATATAGTGGGTTGAAGGGATTGATTGGGAGAAAGAGAACTAGATGATGTCGGAGGTGTCGTGCCACAACTCTTGCACTTGCATTGAAGAATTGTGCCCACAGGCCAAGGATACTGAAACTTCCAACCTAAGAGCGATGGCCTCCAACCAACCTAGTAGCGACGTTGTATCAGGTCACGGTGCTTGTAAGCTTCTAGAACAGCCGAGGCTCTGCGCAGTGATCTGGGACTCAAAGTCTTGAAGCCTTGTAGCCACCTGTACTTCGGCCGGGCGATTCTTCGGCCACAAAAGAAGAACAAAACGATATATACAACTCCTTTTCTGTGCGAGTTGGTTCTACCGATTTTGCGCTGTCACTCTGTGCGCCTTCTTCATGATCTGCGCTTCTGCTCCCTTCTTTACACCATCATCACCGCTTGGGGCCCCTGAGCCCCCAAATTTCTCCTCCAAGCCCGCCACAAGCTGCTGGAGCTCCTTCAGCAAGAATGCCATAACTCACGCCTAATTATACACTATGGAAGGATAATATAGGAGGGACTTGTTACTGGTAGCTTCTTGCTACTAGTAGTAATGCCCGTGTTACTACTATTGATGCCCTTGTTACTACAGTATATTGTATAGTAGCTTCCTGATACTAGTAGCGATGTCCTCCACCTACTACAGTAGAAGGGACCAGGGACTTTCATCGACTTAGGACTTTCCTAAGTCCAGCGCCTTCTTGTTGCTTTCGAGCTTTTTCTCCATCTCCTTGTGGCCAACAGTGGAGGCAACCAGATGGAAAACCCTCATGCTTGGTGGCCCAAAAGCCGACTCAAACGCTTAGATGCGTTGACAATATCATACACATTGTCCATCCTGACGCTCACTCTTGTGGGTGGTCTCCATCGCGGTCAAACGATGGTGAACGTCCTGCCGACTCAAAGCGGATCAGTTTCCCACTGAGTGGTCAGGACCACGAACACACACACACACCTAGGCTGGCATCTTTTTCCACTCAAACGCGGCAAGCTCCACAAGCTATCTGCTTTCCCTCTCAACTAAAAAGGTCATCGTTGCCTTCAGAGCTCTTCTCACTGCTGCGCTGTTTGGGCGCCACATTTGTTGTCTTGCGCCGTCGCCGTACATCAGAAGTGGCAAGCTGCCCAATCTGAACTCCTTGAGAGAGCACAATGTCGTGGACGGATAACATCAATCGACTTTTCAAGTGCTGAAAGTCTCTGCGGGAGAGGCTTCCCTTGGCAAAGGCATAAATCGTGAGTTTTAGCCCTAGATCGCAATAACCATCGAACATGCAGAGTGGACGGAAGAGCTTGATTCGACCCCCTCGTAGTCGTAGCAAACGCTGAACATCTTCTTCCTGCAACAAGCCTTCGAAAGTATCCAGTCGATGTTGGATATCTTCGACCAACTGCGAGAGGCTTTCCACGCTGTCCGGAACCAGGTAAACTGACTCCAGAATCGTGCGAAAGTCTCTCATGGACATGTTCACCACGACATCGTCCAACAGCGTAGTGTTTGGCACATGCACTAGAACCCCGTCTCGACTATTGACGTGAGTGTTGATGATCCCAATCTCTTCGACGACTCCAATGAGGTTCTTTGAGGCATGCTCAATCTCATCGCCTTCCACAAAGGGTCGGTTCAGCTGAATCAGAAAGCTGGCGATGAGATTCCCAACCACATTCCTTGCGGCCAAGCCTACGGCTAAGCCTCCCACTCCACCGAAGGCAAAGATCAAGCGTGGTCTCAAGCCAAAGAGAAAGGTCCAAGGCCAAACAAAAAATGCCATGATGATCAGAAAGTCGATGAAGCGACTCGCCATGGCCGCACGTCGGGCTAGGATCCGAAGCTCTGCATTGCGCGGGTTTTGCATCGCAAAGACGACTCGGGACAAAGCTTGGCACATAGGAGGTAGCGGCACACTTTGTGCACTTGTACTTGGTACATCATTTCCATCAGCACTTTTGGGCGCGTTCTTGCTTCTGCTTTTTCTCCCCTTCACTTCACTCCAGGGTATCTGATCACTTGGCGGCTTCAACAACCTTAGCAAGCAAAAACCCAACAGGGAGGTCATGCAGACCTGCCAGATTCGGTTGCTTATACTGAAAACGAAGTCGAAGACTTCTTGCGCCGTCAGCTCACCGTTGCCATCAGCATCCAAAAGCTTCAAATAGGGATCCTCACCACACTAAAAGCGGGCGATCCCAGATCGCACATAGTGAAAAAAACACATGTGTTCTAAAACGGGGTTGCGGTTTTCAATTTGTGTCCTTTGGGATTATCTTTTGGGGGCCCCGGGTGCAACAGGCGATAGGGCCTTCATGGGTTTTCTCTGTCGTCTCTCCTGTTTGCCTTCTATTTTTGCAGATTGCTTTTGAAATAAGATTTCTATGAAAATTCCCTGCCAATGTTTGGTTGAAATGCCTTCCCAACGTCGTTTCAAACTGAGATGCCGTTCTAAAGGTATTGATTGAAAGTGAACATGTTCGATATTGTTCCAACCAACTGTTTGCAACAAATTGCCCTTCTAAGTTCAAAATCATTGTAAACAAAGACTGCACTGCAAACCCCGACCAAAACGGCCACATATTCTTTTTGAAACGGATCTGTATTCTAAGTACCACGTTGAGGCCTCCATAGCCAGCGGGATTGAAAAAGCACCAATCATTCTGTGTACTTCAGGACGGTTGTAGCTGTTCTTCTCCCAGAAAGCACTTAAAACAATTGTATTATGTATATAGATGACGTTGTTGCTTGCTGTTGTTCATTCACGTGTTTCTAAAAATGATTCATGTTATATCAAAAAGCTGTTTGATTGGCTTCAGGTTTGCCATGTTTAGTGGCATCACTGGAGAGAACCTCGTGATCTTGACACCAGGCCCTGTCCATGAACCCCCCCCAAGCCACCCAGAATCCATTGAAGCACTGCACTAAGAACCATAAGCAACCAAAAGCTAGCGAAAGCCATCAAAGGCCAGCACTGGGCCAGCCACCAATTCCAAAGTCCAGGAAGCCGAAAGCCCAGGAAGCCATCCAAACACCCAAAGCCAAGAAGCCATCCAAAGCAACAAAACAGCAAAACCCTAGAAATCACCAAAGCCAGGAAGCTAGCCAAACCCAAAGCCGCCCGTCCAGTAGCCAAAAACCAACAGCCACCAAAGCCAAGGCCAAAGCCAACCAAAGGGAAACAAAAAACAATCTGCAAAAAAACCAGTCATTTATATATATATATATATATATTAAAATAATTACATATCCTCCTGCTTATGAAGTGCCTGAATCATTATGCCCTGCAAGCTGCCTTGGGGATTAAAGCATTTTGCAACAAGGCACTGATGTGGTTAGGTCCCAGGTCCACGTATCCGGCAGCACCCGCACGCCAAAATTCACCGCTGCCAAGGCGAGCGTAGTTCGAGAAAGTCCTGATGAAACTTGCGTCATCCCAACTGAACTTGGCAGAACAAAGCTGTAAAGACCCTCAAAATACCAAAGGCAAAAGAATGCTCTCAGCTCCGCAAAACTATGATGGAAGGCCCTTGACTTAGGGAGGCCTTCGACCTGGTCAAGCCTTCAGCCTGAAACCAAACTTGGAGTTGAAACCATTTGGAGTGATTTTTGATGATTTTTGGAAGGCTATCTTGCCGACCACCTTTCTTCTGCAGTCTCTGCGCGCCTGTGCTCACCGAGATGATGAAGGTAGAAAGCTTCCAGGCAAGCCAGTGTTGCATCCTCATCTGCTGAAAGGACTCTGCCATGTGAAGCCTCAAAGCGCTGGTGGTGGCCTCGAAGTTCGTCTTCAACGAGGCCTTTGTTAACCATATGGAGGCGCCCAGGAAGACAATAATTCGGAGGATCATGCGGTGGAACAGCTGGGTTGAACGGTTGAAGAAGTCTGTAAACTTAAAGAGCAAATGAATCACGATAGGTGAAGCCAGAAGCGTCAGCAAGCCTCGAGCCACATTTAAAAAGTGCCCAATTTGCACTCGCCGAGAGGTCCTTCCAGGGGAAGATCCAATCGTTTCAAGGACTGCACCTCTTCTCAGTGGCAATGGCCTTGGTGCCTTGAATCTACCAAGTTCTGGTCGCAAAACAAATGGCAAGGATGGTGATTTCAAAGGCCGAGGCAAAGGCCATGGCCGTCCAGCGAGCCAAACAGGTTCGGCCATTTTGTCTGCCTTATTGCATGTTGTCTTTTTAGAAGTGGTTGCAGAGCTGTATGTTGCATCTTGCTGCCGTGGTTGTGTCCAAATCCTTGCAGTCTCATTGTGGATGCACCTTTGCACGCACTGGTGGGCTAGACTGCACGGAGGCACTTGAAATCGATCATGATCACATGCTGCACTTTGAGCCAGCTATATTTTTAAGTGGTTCAAGCTATAGGCTCGCACCATGGCCATGCCCCGCCATGGGTGATCGTTCCCTGGACTAGATTGACTAGATCTCCCGGCTGTGCAGGTCGCAAAGCAGCTGAAAATACCCACTAAACACATCATGACAGAGCCTGCCAGCCCTTGGCCTGAGAAGATTCAAACAAGTTCTCCCAGCTCATACAACATTGACAGGTCCGACCAGCACAGCCATAGCTCCTAGAACGCCGTTTCACTTTCGCCTCCCCCTTACTTCTCTCAAGGACGCTGTGGAGGGAAACGGCCAGAGACGTTTGATGTCCCCAACTCACCAACAAGCCACAAATACCAGGAGCAAGGACGCTACTAGGGGCTCCTGGCATTGCTACTAGGAGCAAGGAATTTGCGTCCGACGCCGGCACATTGCACTCACCCCTGACCCCCGACACGCACCTCAGGCACAGAGCCTCCACCTTCCCCTCCGGCGGGTGGCGCTCCACCTCAAACCAGCAAAACCGTGCCGCTGCACAAGCCATCAAGTTTGGCAAGCCAAAACGAGTTTTGGAAGGGGTCGGAGGTAACAAAAAGGGCCCGAGGCCCTCAAGAGGGTGTAGTTGTTCCAGCGTCCGCTTTACCAGTATAGATCGAAACCCTTGTACCAGCATTCTTAGGAGTAGTTGGGCCGCAGCGTTGTGAGTTGTTTGATCATTTTGCGCCCTGTTGACAGCGTTTGGGCACGATAGCTACAGTAGTGATATTGGCATTTGCATTTCTGAAACTTTTTCATGTCAGCGGTTGAGCATCGGTCGCCCGCGAAAGAGCGCTGTTTCCACGGAGGTTGGGAAGAAACCGACAACACTAGCGTGATATTTCCTTGGCCCAGGTTCAGTGCAGGGCCCAGGTTCAGAGTCGGTTTGAGCAAAGATCAAAATTAGTTCAATGTTTGGTTCGTTTCGACATGATATCCCGGACAATGAGTGCAATTCATTCTTCAAACATCTTAAAACCCTACAGTCGTCCATCTGCTGTGGACGCTTCACAGGTGCGGCCTCCAGTCCCTCCGGTAGCGGCTTTCTGCTCCAAGGCAGCAATGCGTTCCAGAAGTTCCTGGGCAGTTAATGCTGAGGCTTCAACAATTCTCCATAGAATCTGCGAATGCAAATGTGCCAAAGCAACTGGTCCTCATTGACACTCTTGGTCAAATCCTCTTGCTTCTTTTCAAGAGTGGTGAACCGCTTCTCCAGCTCCTCCCATGTGGGAGGGGACACGTGTCCTTCCTTCAGCTTCTGGGGCTGGTGGAAAGCTTCAAACAATTGAAAAAACTTGTCCTTTCAACAAACCGAATGAAATGAAAGCATCATGATTCTCAAAGGTCTCTTTGATTCTGGAACGTCCGTGAGCGACTCAAGTCGCGAGCGATGTGTCCAACCCCAAACCCTAAACGAGTGCACTCTGTCCGGGATGCCCTCCGCAATGCGTTTGCATAGTTCCTGACAACTAATGCGGTGTGAGAGCAATTTTGAGAATCCTAGTAAGGCACTTGTTTCTAAATAGCTTCTTGTTACTACTAGTAAGGCACCTGTTACTACTAGTAAG